GAGGGCTCCAGCTTGGAGGAAGACTGATTCATACCATAAAATCACCAGGCCTCCAGATGGAGTCAGCTACCAAATGGGACATCATCACTGAAGTGCCCTATGACATTTGAGACATGTGTCTTATCTCCAACCTGGGAAGGTCTGCAACTTCCCTCTCAAATATTTTTTCAGTATTAACTGAAACTGATCCCGTTAGCTTCCAGGCTCAGATGTCATCAGGAGCACTCATGGCGGTATGTCCACATGCCTCTTAAACATTAAATTCATGTAGTATCCATGATAGATTTTGCATTGTGTCTAATTTCCCACTGCTGTTACTAGCAATGCTTATAGACATTGTGTTTTATTGTAATATGTTGCTGTTATTGGAAGTGACCTCACATGTTGCGCCTGACACAGGTTTTCAATAAAGTACAATGAAGACTGCTTAGAACTGCCGGTTCTCCTAACATTCCACTGCTAAACATAGTCTCTGTTCATGCCACACTTCGCCCATCATTTGCTTCCCACAATAGCCAACACCAGTAAGAGCAGTTCCATATAATTCCCCACTGCACCACACAAATAAATGTAATTGTTACGCATTTGTTATGAAGGTCCCAGATGGGACCTGTATACATAAACACTGCATTTTTTCATGGCTAAAACTGAGCAAGGGGAAATACGATTTTCTTCTGGGAAGTAGCATGCCATTTGCCGTTGATAGAGCTGTGTGGAGATGAGATCATGCAAGAGTCATGAATGCAAACTGGGGCAGGGCTATTAAATCTCTTTCAACCCAAGGGCCACATTCAGTTTGGAGCAGCTTTTAGTGCTGAGCAACACTGAAGGCAAAGGGTAGGTTCAAAGTATTGGCATATTTTAGCTGAAAATGCTTACTGTCAGCAATGTTGAAGGAGGAGTTTTTTGTTGTTAAAAGGAGTGTGAGTGGGAACAAAACCAAAGCAAAGCAAAAGTGCCTTACTTAGTAGGCACTGGAAAGTCCCAAGGGAGGAAGACCTGGCTAAATCATCTAGAGGATTTTGAAGATGTTCAAACAACTGGAGAACAGCAAGGACAAAGCAGGAAAATGGCAAAAGAAAAAAACCTCTCTAAACAGCACTTTAAAGTAAGATGAGCTCCAGATCCTGACAAACTCTGACATCCACAGCATCCTGACAATGGAGGCAGAAAAATGACGGCCTCTTTCAGGAGGAAACAAGAAGGTTGCAGCAGGACAATGGAGGGTGCAGAGATTTGACACAGTGCTAATTCAAAGTAGGGGAAAAACTTGATAAAAGCTGGAGGATCACTACATTGCCAGTGGTTGAGGAAAGGGCTGTGGCTTTCAGAGGAGCTCTAGAGGGATGGATTTGGGCCTGAAGCTCTGCACCCAAGAACTAAAAGTAGCATCCAGTGTTAAATGAAGCCTGCTCCTCACTGTTTGTAGCCAACACATTTACTGGGAGCAGCTGAGATTTAGTTTTATGCAAGGGGTCCAGTAGAGAGTACTGAAAAGGTTGAGTCTCTTATTGATGGCTGGCTGATTCTTCGGGGAAACAAGTTATTGGACTGATTTAGCACTTGAAAGAGAAGTTCTATCAGACAGGGGGATCTTCTCTAGGTCTTTCATGCCTGTTACAGAAGCTTCCCAGCAAGTTTTTTTGGTTTTTATTTCTATTAGGCTGTATGTGACTTCAATCAAAAGGTACTTATATTTTGAAGCCAATTCTCATCTTTTCATTTCCAAAGCAACTCTACTGACTATTACGGCAAACAGGAACATCTTTTGTCTTGTAGAATAGACATTTCCTTTCCGCTATAGTTACAAAGCAAATAACAAAGTGATACAGAAGGCCTTACTAAAGTGTGCGACATGAAAAACCCACCTGATATAATTGAAAAATGATCATTTTAGGAACACAGAGCTATCTAGTCTTTGAAAACAAACAGATAAATAAAACAGGTCTTTTCCTACGCTTTATTATGTACCCAGAATGCACCTCACTGAAAGTGAGCCCCATAGCGATATTACCAACCTTCTTTAAAGGGATGATACGAGGTTTACCAGAAAAACACATGTGCACACTTGCTAACTTTCACACATGCCTGCACGCGTGCACACACACACACACACACACACACAGTTTAGCATACAGAATAGGATTGTAGGCACTGCTAGGTCGATACGAGAGCCTAAAAAGTAGTTTTCAAAACATTCCACATAGATATGACACTACTTATGCCTAGTGTTCTCTTGACTCACTGAGAGGCCAAAATCAGCTAGTTCTGGTTATCAGCAGGGATCTTCACTTAAGTCTAGGGAAGGAAGTCATTATATATACTGCTGAAGTTTTCTAGAGTCTCTCAAGCTCTATTCTGAACTGGATTAGAGAAGATGTGTACAGGGTGTGGGAAGTGTCACTCTGAAAGGTGAGAGCAGACTAAAAGTCAAAATCCAAAGGCATACAGGATATGCAATCCTTAAGCAAGCGATGTTTAAGTGTTTGACAGATAATGTTGCCATTGTTAGAATACATGCTGTGTATGCAAATGCTCCCAGGCCGAGTCCTCTAGGTAAGGCTGGGATGGGAAAGATTCCTGCCTGAAACTCCGGAGAGCCTCTGTCAGGCACTGTAGACAATCCTGAGCAATTATGGACCAGTTATTTGACTCCATAAAAGGTAGCTTTCTGTGACCTTACATCAAATATTGGCTTTCCTTCCAAGACAACAATTCATTTAGCATGTGTCATTAAATCTTGCACCACACAAACCCATTGGAGTTGGAAGCTTCCTTCAGTCCTAGAAAACAAAACTGATATCGTGCTAAAACGGAAGAACTTGGACAGATCCACCAAGGAGGTGATCTATGCTTGAAGCAAACAGACATGCAAAATCCTGTGGCCAGGAGATTAACAGATTGGAATAGCGTGTCTTGATTCAGATTGGGATTTCTAACTCAGCATTTGGAACTCCCTACCCTGGCAGTAAAGAAGCACTTTCAGCCTGAGGGATGAATGGATTCCTTTGCAGAGAAGCTCCGGGGCTGCTGCATGTCAGCAGTGGGTGGGGCCTAGGAAAAAGAGGGGAGGGTCAAAAAAAAGAGGTGGAGTCACCCGTACCTTTTAGTTTAAAGCTCTTTCAGCCCACAGCAAAGATATAGGAGTAGCATTTCAACCTTTTCAAGTAGGGAAAAGCTGCACAAGTAGGGGGAAACTGCATAAACGGTTGCAAAAAGGAAGTAGAACCAGTGGAAAGGGGTGAGACAGTCTGGGAACCCCCTTTGGCCAGCCTGGGACCCCAAGCTTGAGCTTCTACACCCATGTCCTACCCTACCCCACCCCTTTAAACTTACCATGAAGACTTAAATGTTCCCTTCTGAAATCCAAATTGGCTGCTTTAGTATCACAACCTTTTGCATCATTTGCTAAACCTCTTGTCTGCATTATCTCCTTGTACAGGATCCTTGTAGCAGAACTTAAAGCAAACCTATATAAAAGTTTAGCCATATCATTCTTATATTCCTTTTAGCATGATCCTGAAACAGCTCCCTGTGAAACAAAATCCCTTCCTTTAAAAAAATACCTTTGGCTTCAAAAGTGCAGGCTGTGAAGAAAAGACATACTGCATTGCACTAAAGACTGTGTATTTCAAAACTCTACTTTCTACAACAATCCATGCTTTCTCCTCTGGCCAAGTGGTGGCAGCCATCTTACTTTCACTGCATGGACAGATTACAGACCATCACACCAGGGGCTTAATCTACGGATAAATATTCATAGTTTATTAAGCTTCAGGGAAAGCATGAAGCTGTTTAAGGCATATATGGAAGAACAGTGTCACAACAGAATCTGTATCTGAGGAAAACAGGGTTACTGCGTGTTAGCAAGTTAGCTTGACTTGAGTGCCTTTGATGTGTAACTAACAAGATAGTGTGAGCTCCATGCTGCTGCTTATTTAGTATTGGAGAGCCTCCTTTTGGTTACTTGACCAAGGGGAGTGGGCTATAAGAGGCCCTTAATGTGCTGGAAAGTGGCTTTTACCTTGAAAGCCAGAAACTATAGCCCTGACTGATATGCAGGTAGTAACAATGGAAAGATGGATCAGTTCAGGTTGATTCTGAGTGCATTTGTCCTTTTTGCATCAAACACTGCGGGACAGGGAATCCCTGAACTTTTCAAAGAAGTAGCTAGCAGTTTCAATGCCAGGTTTGTTTCTTCTTAGTAGGTACCATCCTGTTTGCATTTGCAGTAGAAAAGCATTGGTTGGTGGCTTTCCCCCAGTCATCCTTCCTTCTTTTCCTGCTATGTGCAGGTTTCGTGGATGGTGGTGAACACCATGTGTGTGCATAGGGAGGCCTGACTGCTTTTAGCAGGAATGAACAACAATCCTTCCCCCAATAAGTATCCTGGAGAAACAACCACCTAATTCTGTTTTCCTGTTCCGAATTCGTAGAAAGATGCAACTATTTCCATAAAACTCTTTCTTAGGAGAAAGACACTAAATAGCATGGGCATTCTGAATTTCACATTGTCACGTGCGGTGGACCCAGTACTTGAAGTATAGCCAGCAATTGAGATCTGACATCATTTAGTAAATCCAACAACTTCCCCTCCCTTTGCTCATCCCTGTGCTTCGACACTGAAGCCCAAAACCGTACCATTTCATCTTATGGAAAGGAGCATCATATACCTTGCTTAGTGAGGAATATAAGCTAGGTTCTGGTTGCAATGATCTCCAACAAAAATGAACGATCAGAAAGGTTCCTGTTTATAAAACAGCTTTTCATTTCTACCAGAGCCAGTTCTGCAGGGTGGTTTCATGCTGCTTTTAGTGCTGGAGGTTCCATTGTACTCTCATCCCCACCCCTTCACTTCAGGTTTCCCCCCGTGTTGAGATTTCTTTTTTCTTAGGACAATGTCAAATCCTTAAAAGAAAAAAAAACACCTCCCAAAACTCATCTGTGTACATTATTAATGAAAGGAGTTGCATTATCTCACAAATTAGACATTGCGGGGAGAGGGTATAGAGGGGTATTTATTTCAGTCCAAGTTCTGAAGCCTGGGGCGTAGATTCTGTGCATCCTGTTCTTCTACTGGTCTCTTGTGGGTTAGCTCAGATTTCAGCTGCAGTGCGATCACTTCAGCAGCCTCTGCATCTATGCCATTTGCTTTGTTTGCTAAAGAGATGATGGCACTGGTGACCACCTGGCTGCGTTTATGTTTTGGTCACTGTGGTCCTACTCTGGTTGCAATCTGTTGTTGATGTTGACTTGGCTGACCCACACCGACGATGTTTCTTTTTGCTGCTGCTGTTTCGGTGTATTGCATTATGCCAGGGAGTAGATAGCATTAACTGGTGATGTGGCTTCTGAGCTCTCATTGCCTTCTGTCTCATCTTTGTCCTTCTTGACTGTGTACTGGCCAATAAAGGAGCCATCCTCATTGAACTGCCCTTCACCTCCTTCACCATAGTCCACCAAGCTGTCATCACTTTCTTGCTGCTTTATCGTGCCATCTAATGAGGTCTGACTGCCTTGCAGTGGCTTGTTGTCTTCATCACTAGTATCAAAAGGGGGGAAAATGTCATCAGAACAGGAGAAGGTATCATTTTAAAGGAGCAGCATAACCTTAAACTGGTGAAAAGTCCGAGTGACTGTACTTAAAAAAAATAAATAAAAGCAACAAGAATGCGGGAGGCCCTGGGGATTATGACTCTCCCAAGTGGCTAATAGCAAATTACCTGGTGAGATCTTTGCAGATGCAGGAACTGCCTGGAAATAATTCAGTGTTAAAGGGAACTCCTCCCCAAGAATTAGGAGGCAGCAGGCCCCCTTGCCAAAGTAACGTCTTGGTGGAAAACCTACTGAAATGCTACGATGGTCAAGTGACTAAGGGTACAATGTGGTGGGGCCGACACCTGCTAAACAGGAGCCTCCCATCTCAGAAGCTTCAGAAAATACTTTGCCCTGCTCCCAACACTTTTGTTGGGACTTTTGCCTCTCTTCTTCTCGTGAAGATTTTTCCTCTAGATGGCATTTGAGACCATCTAGAAGAGGTGCACTGGTGAAAGCGGGGGGCAGAGCTGGCAGGATTCTGGTTCTTTGTGTCCAAGATGCTCTCTTCTTTTCCACTTGAATGCCCTCCTTTTGACCTCTATGAGGTCCTCAAGGCCACTTTTGAAATCTGCAAAATCAGGTGCTGCCATTCTTTCTGTGTTGGCTGCAAGGGGGCAGGGATGGGGCTGAGGGAGAGATTGGATCATGTAACCCCCTTCCTAGAGTTGCAGCAGTAGCTACTGCCTTTGGAGGAGGAATCTAAGAAACCCTATGGTCTCTGGAACACTATCCCAAGACCACAGGATTTCTCAACTGGCATGTAATAGCTCATGTTTCATTCTGAGCATTCTGGGCTGTAAATGTCTATCTCTTGTTGGGAAAAAAGTGCACTGAAAATCAATAATCTACAAACCTCTCTTTAGTGCCTCTCTTTATATCTAAATAGGGCATAAGATGGTCCGGTGCCATTTTGGCAATTTCAGTTTTAATCTTACCTATGCAACTTTTGAAAAACGATGTGGACAAATCTAAAATGGCACTTTTACTCTTAAGTGGATGCTTCTCTGCTCTTTTTTACAGCCAGGATTTTAGATGTGCAAACACACATTTCCTTACAGTATATAACCCTCATGGGTAGTACTTGTTTTCTTTTTGCGGTCTTGGTATCAGCCCCCAAAGGGTTGGCACTTATGGACAAGCTCCTGCTTCTGCTTCTGAGGCTGACTTACTGACACCAACACTTTTTTTAAAAAATATTTTTAATACTGCTTAATTTAATAAAATCTGTAAGCAGTTCAACAGTGGATGCAACTTCATGCAGAATTTGTCATATCAGTGATTATGAGTTAAAGTGGAACTTGAATGTTAAGAGGAAGCCTGTCTTCCTCAGAGAGGTGGGGCATCTGTGCCAAACATGTTGTTGGAATTCAGCTCCCATCAGCTGAGATGGACAGTCAGTGATCAGGGATGATGGGAGTTGTGGTCCAGACAATGTGGAAGGCCACACATTCCACATCCTTGTTCTGTTAGATGCAGGAACAAAACAGGAGCAATTATTGTCATGAGTGTCTCTCTCCCCTTTTCAGCAGATTGGGATGAAAGGCTTCTAAGATGCAGTCTTCTAAAGAACTAAGCTGGCTAGTTGGGACCTAGCTTCAAAATGCAGAGCGTGTACTCATAAAGTTAACAAGTTGCACGTATCATCACAGCAATCCCTGTCATTGGTGGCGTTACCTTTTGCCCCCATGGGGCTAGCTTGACTCCCAGGGAGGTGTGTGCTGCTTGTGGGCCAGACATTACTGAACTGGTCTGCTTCTTCACCTTGATGGTGAAGCATCAAGTTGATGACCTCACACTGCTCCTCTTTGACCCTCACGTTCTATAGTGTCTCAGCTCAAACCAGAGGTGGTTGGGTTCTCATCAGCCACTTGGCGAATCTCATTCATTAATCTGTATATTTCAGTAATGCATTCTGACCCTTCCTCCTTCTCTTCTAGCTTACCTTTTTGGTCTGAGCTTTCTACCTTGGAATGCTGTAACCTGAGAGAAGCAGGCTCAGTGCCTACAGAAATTTCTATTATGCCCTTCTTGCAAGGAGGCTGAACTGTAGAAGCCACTGGAAATTTGGATAATGGGTATTTCTGTGGATGTGCATGGACAGATGTGTAGGAAGGAACATCCCTGGCTCTTCCTCCTACTCTGTGTTAAGACCCCTCCTGCAAATAAAATCTTATTTCTGAGTACCTGGAACATGGTGCTTATTATCAGGGACCAGGCAACTCTGTGGTCACTGTTAAGGCTACCGTTTTTCTTTACCACCTGGCACCTCTGAGTCCATCTGCAGGCAGTTCCCTCTGCCCCTCACTCTGGAGGAAAGACCCCAGAACCCAGGCTATGTCAATCAGTAGCCAGGAGCTAAAAGAAGTGATGCATACCCTCATGAAGATCCAATTTTTACTGTATCATTGTGTGGATTTAGCTGCAACTGCTTTGGGAAAAATGCAGTATAATACCAATCAATAAACAGGTAAAATCACCCTTCCCTTTGCAGTTCACCTTTTCATCCCAACACAGAATAAAATCAGTTATGTGTTTGGCTTGCCTGGCTTTTTATTTCTCAGTTGCATAGAAGAGTGTTTTGCCATCAGAACCCCCTTGCTAGATAAAGTAGCCCACAATGCCAGAGAATGGTCACTACCAGCAGCTGCACGGGTTCTATGAAGAGCCTTAAACTTTCCAGCTGCCATCAGTCCACCCAGGTCCCATTCAAAATGTGCAAGCTGCCAAGCAGAACAGGGCCCATCAATTATGCCTGCTGGTGCACCAGGGGCTCTGTAAACCTCCTGCTTTTGCAGTCTGCCTGGAAACCATGCCTGATGGGCCACTCACTATCATGGCTTGGTGAGCTGTGCAACCCATGATGGGTTGTAGGTCATGTAGGCCTGCTGTAGATATTAATGTCTCTGGTGAGATACTGTGGCCTGCTTATGGCATTGGCCATCAGCACCTCTCATCACAGTGAGTCTTCTAGATCTGTTTCACAGTGTCTGGAAGGTGCATCTTCCTTGGACTCTTTCAAACTAGTGGCCTGCTTGTTGCCAACAGTTTGTGGTTCCAGGTCACTTGGATTGTGTGGGTGCAGCATAGTGTATTGTGACTTAAAGGGGAAGTCTGCTTGTCTTTTCCTTCTGGAGAAATCTATTGTCCAGCAATGCTCACATGTTACTTTTGCATTGTCTAGCAAAAGCAGAAAGTCCATATTTTGCAAACATGGTTACCCTGGTGTAGAAATACAAATGTGCATGATGATCTCACAGCTAGTGGCTTTTGTGAGCAACTGAATCAGAGGAAAACGGTTACTATTAGGCAGAGAGGTCTGGCAGTGTTAGGAGGCACAAAGCAAGAATGATAAAATGCAGGGATGTTGGTTTGAAATCTTCAGTTTCCAAATTTAGGACAAAATCCTATGTGTGCCGACATAACAAAAAGTCATACCACTGCCAGGATTCCCACACCAGCCATGCTGGCAGGGCAATGCTGGGAGTTATTAGTCTAAATACCCCAATTTATTCTGGACCAGAATTTCCCATTGGAATGGTCCTTCCCTCACTAAGCATGAGGCCAGTGAAGTTTTCAAAATACACCCTGCTGGTTTTGACCTTCTGAAGGCTGCAGGCCAGAGAACCACACAGTAAACTCAGTGGGGCATTTGGTTTCCTTTTCCCACCCCTCTGTAAAGACCAGTCCCTTAAACCGCACCCTTTTCATAGAGGACTGCCATTAAAATGCCTCTGGTCAGAAATTCTGCTAGATCTGTCCAGACCCCTGGCACACTGAGTAGCTCTCTGGATTGTGGGCCAAAGAAGATTACAACTTTGTTGCCTTGTTGTTAGTTCATTAGGAAGGTGAGTATATGCAACCTTTAACACAGAGATTCAGTGTATCGATAGGTTAAAAAGAAATCTTGCTGCTTATTCAATGTATTCAGCTGGGGAAGCTTGAGTCAAGCTGCTTTAGGGGCATCATGTTCAAGAGTTGCATATGGCAGAGTGAATATTTTGTCAATGGAAAATTTCCAGGGAATCTTCATTCTGAACAGATGTAAGGTCTTCTATAGCTGCCAGCTTCTTCTTCACCATGCTTACTTCCCAACATGAAAAACCAGGGTCATCCTGCTTTTCAAATATCAGGGGCACATCAGATAAATAGCTTACCTGAGAATATGGAACTGTTCAAAACCTCAACCCCGAAGAACCCTTTTTCATGTGAGCAATCCACTCTCAGTTGTACAATGAAGCAACAGCAGTCATCACCCATATGGAATTAGTCACAGAAAAAGGGATGAAGCTGAGACTGTGATAATTCAATTGGTTTTGGTAAGTGCTCAAGATCTGCAGGCAGAATGCAACTCACTGGACCTGGGGTGCCCAAAATCACAAGGTGAGGGAAAACAAACGATTCTTTAATGGTGTTAGAGGATGACGTTTGGTGGTGGAGAGGTGGGGGAGTGGGATAAGAGAATAAGGTTGTGCTTCAGTGATGGAACTGCTCAAAGAAAAAGCTGTGCGTGCAAGCCTTTGGGGGCAGTCCACACTCCTACCTTTCAAGAGACCTTCATGGTCCATGTAGAAAGACAAGGTGAAAAGAGAAGAAAGGATTGGAATAAAACAGAGAGAGAAGCAGAAAAGCCCGATCAGAGAGCAAAATGATGAGGTATGCATTTCAGGGGATAGGACCAAAAAATAAAAGCTAACATCACTTAAGGGTGTGGGGGGCGGTCCCTGAAGGAGCTAGCTACCTCATTGTACCCAATGAAGGAAGAGTCAGGACATTTACATACTGTTGTGCATACCCACCCCAAATAAGTAGATTATGGTTTCTAAAAGCAAGTTAATTGCAGGTAAGCCACAACAAAAATAAAGAGATGTGTCACCTAAGCTGGAAAGAGCTGGTAGGATAGTAGTGGCAGTTGCCTTATTCAAGGGCCAGGAACAATCAGTGAGA